AAAAATAAAATTTATTAAATAAAAAATATATTGTTTAGGCATTGTTTGTCCAAAAAAAAAAATTTATTTGGGCCAAAAATAAATTAAAAAGCTTTTTTTTTTTTTTTTTTTTGGTTTTTTTCCCTTAAAATTTGTTTTATTTTTACTTTTTTGCTTTAAATTTTAAATGTGTATCATAGACAATGCATTTGGCTGTTAAGGCACTGTTTGACAGACACAAATAGTGCTTTAACGACTATAATTTTTAAAACTATATATAGTTTTTTTTTTTTAACTTTTTGTAAAAAAAAAATAAAATTAAAGGGTTAATTACAACGACACCCCCTGAGGTTTGCCATAATGACACCCATATACAAGTTGGACGTTTTTTGGACGATGACACCCTCTAACAAAAGTTTGATCCAAACAGTCCCTTAAAAGTTTTGAAAAGACAAAATTGCCCTTCAATATTTAACTAATTTTAATTGTAAAATACCATAATTTTAAAATGACTCTTTTGCCCTTTTACCAATCTCACTTAATAGTGTTTAATTTCTCTCTCTACCTTCTGTATCAAAGTTCGGCTCACCCACAATCGCCACCACCATCACCCACAATCGCCACCACCATCATCCCCTCTATCGCCGCCACCACCATCATCCCCTCTATCACCCATAAGCAAGACAACCTTCCCCACAAGAAAAGAGACAACCTCCCCCACCTTAGCCCAGAATCGTCACCACCATTCACCTTCACCACCGCAAACCCCTTCTTTCCCCCTCTCCACTCACCACCACAATCTCCACTACACAACCACCACCCAATATTACCATGGATCGTATTTTTGTAAAACCACCATAACTTTCATCCGGAAAGTTCCGCCAATCCAAATTCCAAGAAAACAAACAGAGGATCTACCTACAGATAAATTCGGATCCATTTGCATCATTAGACTATGGTTTGAGATTGCGGCAGAGGTGGTGGTGGCATCACCGGAATTAGCTGAATCGGATTCATAGATTGATTTGATTCCTTTGCGCGATCTGAAACCTCGTTTGAATCTACTCCTGGAAGTAAAAGGATCGGAGAAATCAGAAAATTAGCTGGCGACGATGTCGTTTCGAGCGGTGGCGGCAAAAGACACTGTTCTGGCCACAGATCGGTATATATATATATATATATATATATACCGGCAGAGACCCAGATCTTAAAGTGAGGTATATAGACATATACGTATTGCTGATCAAAGAAATTAATTCTGTTTTGGTGTGTTATTGATAAAAGATTGGCACGATTTGGGCGATTTTACAACATTGCTGTTTCGTCTTTCTCCAATAGACCTAGAGCTTCGTCGATTCTAGCGCAGAGCTCCCGCGACCACCCCATTGGTACGTTGGAGAACTATGGAACGTGCATTTGTGTATATAATATATAGGCAATTTCAACCCAGGGCTTCGGCTACCCTACTGATTCGTTAGATGTATGGAATGCATATACCTGATATATATATATCAGGTTATGTATATATTGACAATATTTGTATATAGAGAGATGTGGGAGAGGTTATTTTAGACATTTCAATTTTATTAGGTTGGGTAATTCGGTAATTTCTCTTTTCAAAAGTGTCATTTCACAAGTCAAAGGGCACTTATGTCATTTTATCACATGTCAGACCCTCAATGGGTGTCTTTGTCAAAGGCAACAAAGTTGAGGGGATGTCATTGTTCAAAAGTGAGCCAACTTGTATATGAATGTCAATAGGGCAAACCTCAAGTGGTGTCATTGTAATTAACCCAAAATTAAAATTACAAATTCATCTACTTATTCCCATAGGATTTTGTAATCCTTAATTTCTTATTCCAATTCATTATTTTTAATCTTAAAAAACCATTACATAATAAAAATTATAGTATATGACATATCATAACATCTTAAAAGTAAACAAAATGCAACATAAATTAAATATCTTCATCACTATAGCGGTTCCACAAATTTTCCATCAAATCATTCCTCAACCGCGTATTTGTCACTCTGTTGTAAATCTGTAGTTGGCGAGAGAATATGTGTGCTGCTAAAACCGATGGCCATCGACTTAAAGTGAGAATCGGGATTGCATCCTCCGGTGGCGGAGTCCATCTTCCAACATTTGCGTGACGCTCATCTTCAATGATCATATTGTGAAGGATGATGCACGTCTTCATTATGAGGCGCAAGTCATCTTTCTCCCGGTAACGCACTGATCTTTGCGTTATTACTCACTTGATCTGCAATACCCCAAAAGCCCGTTCCACATCTTTCCTACATGCCTCTTGTCACTGAACAAACAAATTTTCTTTTCCAGTGGTTGGGTGCAAGATGGTCTGCATCAAAGTTTCCCACTTACAGTATATACCATCAGACATGTAATACCCCATTCTATAGTGATATCCATTCACTACATAATTAACCGGAGGCAATTGACCATTGACAATACCGTTGAATACCGGGGAATGATCCAACACATTTATATCATTGTGTGAACCCGGTATTCTAAAGAATGCATGCCAGATCCACAAATCTTGTGAGGCAACTATTTCCAATATAAGAGTATTCTTGCCAAAGCGTCCCCTATGTGTGCCATGCCACTCCACTGGGTAATTCTTCCACTCCTAATGCATACAATCGATAGAACCAAGCATACCCGGAAATCCTCTCTGCTCCCCTTCTTTAAGCAGTCGTGCTATGTCGGCTTCGTTGGGTGGTCACATATACTCCTCTACATACACATCAACAATAGCATTACAAAATGCCTTCAAGCATTTAATAGCAGTGCTCTTACCAATTTTAATATACTCATCATAATGATCGGCTACACAACCATATGCGAGTATACGAATAACAGTTGTCATTTTTTGTTTAGAAGACAATCCCAGACGACCAGTCGCATCCTTTTTTTGGACAAAGTAGTCATCATAAGCTTTGACATCATTAAGGATACGAAGAAAAAATTCTCATCACATCCTGAATCGCCTGTGAAAGTACTCCGGTGGATATGTATAATTCTCGTCGAAGTAGTCTTTCATTAGCTGATAGTGGCTTCCCTCTTGGTCATGATGAATGTACCGCTTCTTTTTACGGAATTGAAATACTCGCTCAACTATCTCTAACCTCACTAAATTCATAATCTCATAGAATTCGTCTTGATCCTATGGAATCAACGCGCTAATAGGGTCATCTTCCGAAGAGGATAACGAGGAAGATGAAGAATTATAGTTTGCCAAAGGAAAAGATTATGATGACGAAGCCATTGAAATTTCAAAATTGAAATAAATGGATAATGATATTTTACTACAATTGAGAGAAATGAATGTAGTGACGATTTTTAGATGAGCAAATGAGTATTCATTATATAAAATGAAAAATATAGCTGTTACGAATATAACCGTTAGAAATATAGCCGTTTAGGAAAAGTTTTAAAAAAAAATTAATTAATTTTAATTTTTTTTTAGAGAGCGAAAATTCGGAGATTTTGATGGACTGAATGTTTCTGGAGAACGAAAGCTGCTGACGTGACTCTTGGAATTGCTGACATGGCTCTTAGAAAAGCCGATGTGGCATTTTTAGAGAGCCAAAATCTGAAGAGGCTGATGCAAATGGCCTAAACCAAAACCACAACCACCATCCAAACATCAGCAAATCAATACCATTTAAAGGCATATTTCTTTTTAGGCAACGAAATATTCCACCACAAGTACCTTCAATCATCTCCTAATCCCAACCCTAGAAAAGATCACCAAAAACGAAAATCAGAGCCCATACCTTATCCCTCCCCGGCGTCCTCCACGATGGCAGCGCCACTTAATTCTTCGTTGCCGACTTCGAGCTCATTCTCAGTCCTATCATCAACGCATGTGGTTTCAAAAATCTCAAGATCGCCGAACCTGGTCTTGATTGTGTTCAGAAATTGATCTCTCACAGCCTCCTCCATGGCGAATCGGACCCCACCAGTACTTGTCCCGAAGCAAAGTTGCTGGCGTAACTGATCGAATCGGTGTGTTAGTGTAAAGATTTGGGCGACGATTTACACCATCGCCACCTGAATTGCCGCCGATGTGCCGTCGGAGTTACAGCGACGGACGTCACGATGGAGGTCTGAACTGCAGCCGCAAAATGAATAGGCAAGGTAGAACTGAACGGACAAGACACGAAACTTACCGGCAAGTGCGCGAATTGAATCGGCGATAAAAAACAGATCGGTAGCAACGGAGTGCGAGCACAAACTATGACAATGAGGCCGTGTCAATGTCACGATTCCGGTGGAGAGGTTGTTGGTTAAGTTCTATAGATGGGTTATGTTTGGGTGCGATTGGTGCAAGGGTTTTGCAGTTGGGAATCATGACTTTGCCGCTTCGTCTTCCACCTCTCACCTTGCCGCTTAGTCTATCCAACTCACTTAGTCGAAGACTCAGAAGCAATGGAAGCATGAAAGGAGGGAAAGCGTCGCCGATGTTCCTAACCTTTCACTTGTCATGATCTCCATCTTCAAGTTCAATTCAGGTATTGTGGTTGTCTTGGGCCTCTTCCTTGTTTTTGGATTTTGCTTAATTTGTTGTTCAAAGGTGAGGCCATTGTGAAATTGCCCTTGTGATGGCTTTAATCATGCAGAAGATGAGCTGCATGGGGAAGGGTTGAAGAGGACGAAGAAGACGGGGTATTTCTATAATTTCACAAATAATTATGATATGTTTTAATTTAAAATTAAATAACAAGGTCAAATTTGACATTTAACAGTCAGATTAACGGGCCGGACTCGAATATTTGGACAATGTGATTACTTTTTAAAGCGTAAGTAATTTTTGAAAATATGTTTGGAGTTTATGATAAAAAATTGAAAGTTGGAGGGTTATTTGAAATTAGCCCTTCATTAAATAATGGTAAAATCTAAACTATTCCTTCCTCTTCTCACTTCCTTCCAACTCTCTCCGGACAAAGGATAAAGGCAACCAAACAAAAGGAGAACCGACACTCATGTCTATCACTTAAACGTGTAAAGCAATAACCCAAATCTACGTGTGAAAGGGGGTGCACTTCGTGTCTCTTTCAGATTTCATCACACATCTTTCAGGAAAGAGAAACTAGAGAGAGAAAGTCCAGAATATAGAGAGAGAAACAGAGTCCACATTTTTCTGGTGAGAACTAGCTACTCTCTCTCTATATCTAAATTCTTGACAGTTCATACATTAAATTTTCCTTTCCTTTCCTTCTCGTTCTTGTTATCAAACTTCTCAATTTTCTAAAAATCCTACAAAAAAAAAAATGACAGATAGAGTGTATCCTTCATCTAAGCCCAACGGCACCACCACCGCCGCCGCCACCGCCAACGGTGTTGGCGGCCCTATCAACCTACCACCCGCCAAATCCCAACTCTACAACCCCAACCGCCACCCATACCGCCCCCAACCAACCCGCCGCCGCCGGAGTCGACGCAGCTGCCTCTGCCTCTGCTGCTTCTGGTCCACCGCCCTCATCATAATCCTCCTCCTCCTCGCCACCATCGCCGCCTCGGTCGTCTACGTCCTCTACCAACCCCAGCGCCCCAAATTCACCGTCTCCGCCCTCCGAATCGCCCGATTCAACCTCACCTCCGCCGCCGACGACACCTCTCACCTCACCTCCCTCCTCAACCTCACCGTCTCCGCCAAAAACCCCAACAAAAAGCTCGCGTTCCTCTTCGACCCCGTCACCATCACCACCACCACCGCCTCAAACCAGCTCACAATTGCAAATGGGTCGTTCCCAAAATTCACTTTTAACCCCAAGAACACCACATTGATCCGCTCCACACTGTCAACTAGCTCACAAATCTCCGACACCGAGTCGGTGAACTCGCTGAACTCAGATCTGAAGAAGAAGACTGGTGTGCCACTGAAAATTGTTATGGACACGAAAGTGGTGGTGAAGATGGATTCACTGAAGTTGAAGAAAGTGGGAATTAGGGTTTCGTGTAGTGGGATTCATGGTCTGCCTCCAAAAGGTAAATCTCCATCGGTTGCTTCAACATCTGAAGCTAAATGTAAGGTTGATCTTCGGATCAAGATCTGGAAATGGACCTTCTGATTTTCAGTGATATTAAATTGTTATTTTATTTTATTTTATTTTCTCACTTTTTTATGTGGTTTGTAAACTTTAGAAGTATTCGAGAAATTGGGGTTGTAGTAGAATTGAGAAGAAAGGGAGGGTTTGAATTGTATAATTTTTACTTGTTTAGGTGTTTTAGTTGAGATCGAGTCTTTTTACTTGATTGACTCTAATATTACTATTACTGTAATAGAATTATTTCATCAGAAATGCAATTTCATAAATTTTGATATGGAAAAATTTATGAAAACTGAAATGTATTGCGAGCCATAAGTGCAATTTCCTAAATTTATACTAGTTTTTAAAGGATTTAGAAAATAGAAAATAATTTTGATAAAAGATAAAAAAACTTAAAATAAGTCTTTTTTAACTCGAAAGAAACTTTTAACCAACCGAATTTTCATCAATTATATGAAAAAATAAAAATAATTCACAAGCTGGCCCTCTTATTTCTTATATTTATTATATGTGCCTTAATATTGGGAATTTATTCATCCATGCCACTTTTTTCTAGCTTGGTTGAATACCTTTTGCATACAAGGATGAGAGTAGTGGTTTTGAGAATGGAGATTTGATCTGGGATAATTTAAAATTTTTTTTTTTAATGAAATATAGTTATTTGATGTTGCCTTTTGATCATTTACAAAATGACTAAATTTGCTGGATATGCAAACATTTTCATAGAAAAGTTGTGTGGAAGTTTCTACTTGTAGTGCAACTATACAAGTACAAAGAACAATGACACACGTATAAGAAGTGTACCTAGGACATACAGATGACAATAATTTTAACTTGACAATTTTGTCCTTTGTTCAAGTAGTGTCGCCTTTGTTTATAGGTTTTTAGTACAATAACAATGAGTGTTGTGCGATTTTTTATTTTTATTTTTATTATTATTATTTTTTTAACCAAGTGTTCAGGATGACACGAACATCAGGACCCTTCAATAATCTGATTAATCTTTGAGGACTAGGAAGGGCGCCTTCCCACTTAAGTCTGGTAAGTCATTATAGGGACAACGGAAGCTAGCCACAAAGAACTTTCAGCGGGACTCAAACTTCTCTTGAACTTATTTTTCTAAAATCTAGCGAGTAAATTGCTGGATCATATCCTAAAGTTTTAAAATTTAGCGAGTAAATTGCTGGATCATATCCTAAGTGAACGTGTTGAGTGACTTGTGTCTTTCTTACCTATTCAGAAAGGAGGGAAAAAAGTTTGATGAATGCAAAAATTCATAAATGTATGTTTGTGTTTGGCTCCTTTTTACTATTTGCGGTGTTAAGATGAGCATCCTACTTTATAAAATAACAAATTTGCTTCTTAACAAATTTGCTTCTTATGTTGTGTGGAGGAATTTTACTTCAATTGATCAATTTTTTTATTTTTTAATTTTAAATTCAAATTGTTAATTCAATACTTTCAAACATAACATTAATTAACTTTTTTGATTGAGAGAACTTTGGGGTTCAACTTCACAAAATTTAGCTGAACTTACCCTTTACAGTCCAAGAAAATTAATTTTGTCACCTGGATTAGCTGAACTTACCCTTTACAGTCCAAGTTATCCCAACAGAATTACTCTAATCCCATGGAGTTTCCACTTTTTAATCTAAACGGACCAAAAAGGCCCTCACCTGATTCATGTATCATGTGGGTCCACCCCATTTAAGGGTTGTTCCTATGCGTGCCTGCCACTTTCACTTGGTGTTCTCATGTCGTCACCGACGCATTTCTCTTCTTTAATGCAGATTGTGTTTGGTTTATGAGAAAAAAAAAAAAAAATTAGGTGTCAGGACCTGAAAAAATTTGATAGTTATAAATATTTTTTAGGCTAATTTCATAAAATTTTCAATATTTTCAAATTTTGATCATAAAACTTTTAATTTATTTTAAAAAATTTCCTACAGTATTGGATAGGTTAACTGAATTGTAAAATGACAAGTTTAACTTTATTATTTAATATTAAATTTAAAATTTAAAATTATTATTTTAAAATTACAAATATACTCCTTTAGGATTGTCCATCATCATCAAACCAACGAGCTCCAAGCTCGTGATCAGCTTGGAACTCTGGTGACGACGAACCCACTTTGGTGACCATGTTGCTTGCAACACCGAAACCGGCGAGCAACGCACCATTTTCGACGGAGCTCCTCCAAGCTAGAATGAACCAAGTTCTTTGAAGCCCAATTAAATCTGTCTTCCTCGTCTGCAATGGAATCGAATCGAAGAATCCACAAGCATGCAATTGTATTGCTTGTTGACTGATTTATGACCAAATCGATTTGCCGATTGATGAACATGTGGCAGCAACTCGTTGGTTACAAGAACGCCGGCAGCTCTACCCTTCTTCTTCTGCACCTAGTAGCTCTCCACCGGTGTCACGGAAAATGGGCGGGCCCACAAGGGCGTGCGGTATTCCGCAAGCCCAACCCCAATCGCTGTAATTTTTTTTGTCTAATTTGCACCAAAACGACATCGTTTTTGGAGGGTTTTTTTTGGCACTGTTTGGCTGCAAGTTTTTTTTTGGAACAGAACCCCAAAAACTGGGTTATTTTGTGCTCTTTTTTTTATAAATAAAATTCATTAAATAAAAAATATATTGTTTAGGCACTGTTTGTCCAAAAAAATTGATTTGGGCCAAAAATAAATTAAAAAACCTTTTATTTTTTTGCTTTTTTTCCTTGAAATTAATTTTTTAACTTTTTTTTGCTTTAAAAAACTTTTTATTTATTTATTTATTTAGTTTAAAATTATAATATTAATCCTAACTTTTTAAATAATTTGTAAATATATTGTTTGATTGAAAAATATTACCATTGAGAAATAATTTCATTATTTTTAATATCTAAAATTATTACATAAAATATTAAAAAATCATTATATAATAAAAATTATAGTATACAAAAAAAAGTTAAGAATATAGCGGTTAGAAATATAGCCGTTATGAATAACTTAAATTTTTTTTTTTTTTTTTTTTTTGAGAGCAAAAATTCGGAGAGTCTGATGAAGTGTTTATTTTCAGAGAACGAAAATTATTGACGTGACTCTTGAAATTGCTGACATGACTCTTAAAAATGTTGAAGTGCCATTTTTTGAGACTCAAAATTCGAAGAAGTTGGTACGAATGTTCTAATAGATTGTTAATATTAGTACTGTATATTAGGAATAAGGTAGAAACACACACAAACGCGTGTAGTTTCCTTTTTTTTCATAAGAAATTTGTGTCATAGATCAGAAGCAAACGCGTGTACCCTTCTGTCTTTTTAGCTATGGAGATTCAGAAGAATTTACGGAAAGGAAATATGGAGATTGAGAACAAATGTGAAACTCTGAAACTGAGAAGCCATGACTTTGTGGCACTAGAAGCCTAATTTCGGCAATCCAGTGATTTCTTGGTAAGTGTATAATTAAGGAGCATTTAGACACAACAAAATATATAATATATAGTTAAATACTATAAAAATTACTAGTATAGAGATCAATTAATAAAAAACTGAGCCTTGGATTAGATTTTTTTTTTTTTTTTTTTTTTTTTTCACATTTAGAGTAGGGCAATAGGGATCAGGTCACTTAACAATGTATGTTGTAAGTTCCAACTTCCATAAAATATATTACTACCAATCCACTGCCTAAAACAATTTAAAACACATAAGAGTGACAACCATGACTGAATACTGTATATAGTTGCAGACCCCATTAACACGCAAAGATACTAATGTCTGGTCTGAAGATGAAGAAAAAATGCCATTCATGATGACTAACTCGGAAATTAATAGTGCTTATATTTCTATTCATGCTCGGTGTTTAAAGGTGGCCTAAATTGTAAATTAAAGTCTTGTGTGAGAATGTGATTGCATTCCGCTCCCGAACGCGTTATCCTTCACATGAATTCGGTAATTTCTTTTACTTAGAAGGGTGCTATTTCATCTTTACTTCTCTATTCTCTTCCAACGGCTAGTTGGCAATGAATACTACTAACACACTCTTGTGTAAACATTTCTATTCTTTACATGAATTACATGGAAAACTTTATATTTTAGGCTTACGTGGAAAAAAGGTTTGGAAATTTTAAAATTAGCTCAAGGATTCTTTGTTGATTCAATTGGATTTTCAAATTACAATTCTCTTCAATTTTTGGATCATATATATATATATATTTACAAAGCAAGAAGAGTTAAATGTAGAGAGTCCAAACTTGATACTCCCAAATTTACCTGAATTTTCGGATCATCATAAATGTAAGATCTTCAATTCCAACTAAGACTCGTGAATTATAGGCAAATAGTAATTAGAATTTGATGTTTGCACTCTATTTTTATAGATTTATAAATAATTTCTCAAAATTGCAATTTTACTACATTTGTTGGGTGTGAGATTTACTTTTGAAGATAATTTGTCAATTTCATTATGACAATTTTTATAGATTTATAAATTATTTCTCAAAATTGCAATTTTACTATATTTGTTGGGTGTGAGATTTACTTTTGAAGATAATTTGTCAATTTTACTATGTTTGAGACAATTTTTTTTCCTAATTAGTACTCACACACACATGCATATACCGAGATTTGAACCCTTTACCTTTAAAGAGAGGTAGGAATCTAATACCGTTAGGCCAGTGACCCATTGATACTATATTTGAGACAATTAGTATATACATTATGTGGTGCCTCAAAGATAAAAAAAGGTACACATTAGGAATTTGGATTATTAAATCCTCTCCAATCAAATTTATCTCCGTATATCTCAATTCTATAATTTCAATTCAGTCACGTGATCATTTGGTCAAAGTACTAAGTAGGCTTTGACAGGATGATGACGTAGCATAATTTACACTACCGGATTGAAACATGAATGAGAGAGTTTTGAAGGAAAATGATTCTTGTCTTACTGTACAATTATTTGATTACTATCTTAATTCGTTTTGAAGGAAAATGATTCTTGTCTTACTGTACAGTTATTTGATTACTATCTTAATTCAATGGCTAAAAACATAAGAATGTACCATAATTGTGGTTATATATGAAAATTGTTGTCATAATTTTCTTAAAGTTATTAGTTTTGATTCTAATCATTCAGCTTTCACATAATATTCTCTAGTTTTAACGGCTAAAAACAAAACATGTTACTTTTAAGGATATCATTATCACAAATTTATAACATAATCAATTAATCCCAATTGGTGCGCCCCACCCCCAAATAAAGCACACACCACCATTAGCATCCAAGCGTGGAGAAAAAATTGGGTATTTCAGGTGCGGATTAACAAATTCTTCTCCATTCAGTTTTCATGTGCTATTTATGTGGTGGTGAATTTCATTATTATTAATCAATGGTGAATTTTGCCATTGTAATAGTGAAATATTGAAATTTCACTTATAAATAAATAATATCAAAAATTAAATTAATGAGCAGAGTAATAAAATTCACAATTGATAATGGTGAAATTCATCCATTACATAAAATTTCCTCATCAAAGTAAATAGTGAAAATTTATTGTTGTCTTTTCCTGTAGTATTTTTTAATATTTTTGTTTTATATTTTAATGCAAGAACAAATGTATTAAATCTTAAAATAACAATGTTGGAATTATTTTTACACAATTAAACATATTTTAACCATTTATTTCATATTTTAACACAAAACATACCATAAATCCAAAACAAATATAAAGAAAATAAATTTAAATGCATTAAAAAATCAATATTGATCAGAGCAGAGAATCTAACACTTATCAAAACATGAAGTACCCAATTTCCAAGCGTCATTCATGCAACGGTCGTATAAACTGCTATAGCTACTTATTGACCACGCTCCAAAGGCGCGTGAAGACCATAAATTCTTGGTCTAGGAATCCTATCAGACTCAAGAATCACCTGCAACGGCAACTACAATAAGTCTTACATCACAGCCACGTCCGACCCTCACCAAGTCAGAAATGTCAAACCATCAACAAGATCAACGGTCAGAATTACTTTCATCCGTTAGAACAAGATAACAATCCTACTCCGAGTCCACGGTCGATTTCACAACATATATTGTCTATTTGTCTGTATATATATATGAACTGAACTCGTTTCTCTCCACTTTCCTTTCCACAAACCAGAGGAAAAGAAAATGTTGGTGATGCTGAAGCAGTTTTCCATCTCCGTTCTCCTCATTTTCTCTCTCCTCTCTCTTTCTCTCTCTAACCCTGAAAATCCAGATTTCACCACTTTGTTAGCCTTCAAGCTCTCTTCGGACACTTCAGACTCTCTCTCGTCCTGGTCTAACTCGTCCGACCACTGTTCCTGGCTCGGCGTCAAATGCAACCCATCGACTCACCGAGTCGCCAAACTCGTCCTCAACCAGCTCAACCTCACCGGGTCAATCCAACTCTTAACTCGCCTCACCCACCTCCGCCACCTCAGCCTCCACCACAACCACCTCTCCTCAACCCCCGCGAACCTCGCCACGTGGCGCAACCTCAAACACCTTTACCTCGCTCACAACCGCTTCGCCGGAAATTTCCCCGCCGGAATATCCAATCTTACTCGCCTCCGTCGGCTTGACCTCTCTTACAATTATTTCTCCGGCGTGATTCCGATGAACGAGTTGACTCAGCTGCCGCACTTGCTCACTCTCCGACTCGAGTCCAACTCGTTCACCGGAGGACTCAGTCATCTCGACTCGAACGAGTCGTCATCAGACTCGATTTCGGACTTCAACGTCTCCGGCAATCACCTCGCCGGGAAAATCCCAAATTGGCTGTCAAAGTTCCCGGCTGCTTCATTTTCCGAGAACCAGAACCTCTGCGGCAAGCCATTGCCGTCGCATTGCTCTATTAAGCCACTCGCTAGCAATCGGAACGGGACGGCCGGGAGTGAATCCGTACAAATTAGGGACTCCGGTGATCACAAGAGGAATTTAAATCCCGGGGTGGTACTGACCATTATCACTGTTGATGTAGCTGCAATTGTAGCAACGGTCGGGATAGTCACGTACTGTTGTTACAAAAGGAGGTACAGAAATAGATATAGAGAGAGAAAGAGAGAAGCGAAGAGCTTTGTAGTGCCAAGTGGTGTAGAGAGAGAGAATGAGGAGATGGTTTTCTTCGAGGGTTGCAAGGGTTTTACTAAGGTGGACGAGCTGTTGAAGGCATCGGCTGAGATGTTGGGTAAAGGGAGTGTGGGGACCACTTATAAGGTTGTGATGGACGGTGGTGATGTGGTGGTGGTGAAGAGGGTGAGGGAGAGGAGGAAGAGGAAGGAGGTTGATGGGTTGTTGAGAGAAATTGGTGGGCTGAGACACCCTAATGTTGTGGGCCTTAGGGCTTGTCATTCTTCCAAGGATGAGTTGCTTTTGGTCTATGATTTTCTGCCCAATGGAAGCCTCCATTCTCTCTTGCACGGTTTGTTCTTCCTTCAATTTTCACTAATTAAAGTTTTGATTCATATATAACTTCCATTTATTTTTCAATCACTTGTTTGACATATGTATTTATAAAAATAACTTTGTTCTTAGTTTAGGCGGAAAATGGTTTTCATATGATCTTTGATTTGGGTGATTCTCTTTGCTCAAGAAGAGAATAATTTTGAAAATTGACATTATCTAGTGGTTTAGTTGGAAGATTGCTCAGCTTCCCGAATACTTTTGTTGGCATTCAAATCTCCCTCCCCCTAGTTTGCCCAAAAAAAATGGAAATTAAAAGTTTAATTTTCAAAAATATTGTTTGCTTGCAATTTTATGAAAAAATCAGTTAAAAATGGTTGATTTTAGAGAAATGTCTATAATTAATTGAAAAAATATCCCAGAACTTAAGTCTCATTTTAAAAAAAAGTCTCATTTTAAAAAAATTGTTTTTTAGGTCTATTTGTCAAAATAAAATAAGTAAGGTCATTGATGGCATGAAGTTTTAGACTTCACTCGAGGCCATCAGTCAAATTATTAGGTCTAAATATCATTTTTCAAACTAAATCAAGTAGGTTATAAGTTGTTTTATATCTCGGTTCTCCCAAGTCTAGAGGACTAGACTAGTCCTTCTCCGAAATAATGAAAAATTATTAGATGGTCTGGGACTACATGACCCCCCACCACTCAAGAGCTGTCAATCGCAACTAACTTTGTCACTTCTAAGTTTTTGATTGGTTCAAAACTATCTAATAATTTCTGATATCTCTTATTAAAATGTGACTTGAAAGTTTTTTTTATTTTTTTTATGCAAATTTCATAAATTTTTCTCTAAACAAACCAAGCAGGTAATCGAGGACCAGGAAGGACACCATTAGATTGGACAACAAGGTTAAATTTTGCTTCAGGTTCAGCTCAAGCCCTTGCCTTCCTGCACTCTCACAACAAATCCAAGCTATTCCATGGACATCTCACTTCCTCAAACATCATAGTCGATCACTTGGGCAATGCATGTATATCAGACATTGGACTCCACCAACTCTTGCCACTACCGTCTTCATCAAACAACGCCTACAAAGCCCCCGAACTAATCCTCAACAACAACATCAACTGCAACCACCCCCGGAAATTCCTGCAGGGATGCGACGTTTATAGCTTTGGAGTAGTTCTGGTGGAGATTTTGACCGGGAAAATTCCGACGAGCGAAGGAGAAACGAGTTTGGTGAGGTGGGTGCAACGTGCGGTGGGCGAAGAGTGGACGTGGGAAGTGTTTGATTTTGAGCTGTTGAGGTACAAGGAGATGGAAGAAGAGATGGTGGCACTCCTGCAAGTGGCCTTGCTGTGCTTGGCCCATTCGCCGAGAGACCGGCCGAAGATGAGTGTGGTCCATAGGATGATTGAAGATATCAGGACAAAGGGTGGCAAGGAAGGAAGGTCTCAGAATCCTTTGAATTATCTGTCGTCTGATTCTTCTTCTCTATCAGAAAGTATTCACAACTTCATTAGCAGCTAGTGGTTATTCGAATACATTTGTGTTTTTCAGCTACTAGTTTTATAAATTTTTGTTCTTTGTTTTTAATTTGACTGCAGTCACATTCTTTAATTTGATGGTTGAACTGATTTTAATTTGATTTTATTATGAGACATTTCTTCAATGTTTGGGTCCGTTTGGCATAGCTATTTTGATGAAAAATGTTCTTTCATTACTAGGGCTACCATAAAGTTGATGAAAGTAAAAAAGCAGTGTTTAGTAATGCATTTTTATTAAGAAATTTCACAATTAAATCACCTTTTAATTTGTTTAATAACATTATTATATAAAGCACTTATATTACTTAATTTTAAAATAATGACTTTTAATAGAGTGTTCTTATATTTGGTAATAGTTAGAATTACATAAGAGATGATAAAATTGTATTTATAAGAATTTAAAGGAGATAAAATTGTCTAATGTAAAACACTTACTTAAAATATAGTAAAACCTGTACAATCCAGTTCTAGAAAAAAATTCGCTTCCTTCAAAAGCTTTAGTGGCCTAAAATTTCTACAATTCAAAAATGCTTTGTTTTGACCAAACACATTTAACAGTAAAATTTTAAAATACAAGCCCTTTCACACCAGAGTAACTTAATTTGTTTTTAATTCAACCTCTAATTATATGAGTAATGCTACAAAACAATCTAGGTCTTTCATTACCTTGGTGACTCCAATAAAATAAAGTCTCACATGACCTTTGTTGGCTTTTAAAAATAACAAAATTTTTTGCTTGTATTTATCTCAATTACGAATTTTTACATCAAATTGGTTCTGTAATTGATAAAACAAAAGAAAAAAAAAATAGTCACTTATATCATTTTTCTAATTATATATTAAGGGTGTAGAATTGAAATGGAAGGACAAGAAAAGAATAGTAATGGAGGGAAATAAAAAAATGTGTTTGGTAGGAAATATTGAAACGAAAAGAAAAGAAATGATTTGGAGGAATAAAATAAAGCATGAATAGTAGCATTTGTTATCCTTAAAAAGTAAGATGAAAGAAAAAGAAAGAATAGTATTTTTAATAAAACTTTGTTAATTTTAAATTTGTTCTTATTTTAATAAAAGACAAACTCTATAAAATATGGCATGATTGTAAATTCATTAAAATAATTTTTTTTTTCAAGTATAATTATTATCATTTATTTAACTTGTCTTTATTAATCAACTAAACACCACAACAATTAGCACTGACCTTTACTTTCATTTCATTTCTTTTCATTCCTCACTAATATTACTCTCTCCGCCCCAAAATAATTGGACGCCATAGGAATTGTGACTCAATTGAGCACCTAACTATTTTGGAGCGGAGAGCATAATTTTTATTTTTTTCTTTTACATTATACCAAACGTATCCTAACACATTAATTATAAAGTTATTATGTTTGGAACAAAATTGAACAGTGCACATGTGGGCCCACTTAGCTGGCTTCAATTCCCAACCTTTTCTACCTTGGTTAAATTCAATGGAAAGGCCACCCAGGTACCAACTAAAAGCCACTAGGAGTTGGTGGTAGATTTAAGTTTGTGACATCAATTGAATCAATGGACAATTATTTGGTGTGCACATACTGGTTGAATTTTTGGATTGATGCATAAAATTAGTAGTTGGTTTCTTTCAGGAAACTTTCAATTTTGGTTGACAGTAAATCTTGATGACTTCATGAAATTTTGAGACAGGTTGTTGTATCAAACAATGTTGGAGACAGATGTAAACTCGCTGTCACCATCCTGAGTACAGCTCTAGCATTCCAACAACCTAATTTGTCACGGATTTAACAACCATTTTTACCATTATTTTGTTATTAGACCACTATTAGGTATGACTTTAGGGCAATACTCGCATGTCTCTCAAGCCTATTCTTTCTAATTTATTTTATTGTTTTCATTTTCTTAATTTATATAATTGAATCATTATTATATTGTTCAATTATTTGTGTTATTGAAATATTCATTATTATATCCATGTTGTTTAATTTGATGCATTATTCATGATTAATAAAAATTTTGTTCATTCATGTTGATGTGTTATTATTTAATGAATTGTTCATTCTTTATTCTTTATGAACATAAATTTGATGTGTTATATTATTAGTCTTGTAATTTACGTGTAAATTCTCCAACACATTTTTCATGAACTTACTTTGTCTTTAACTTGATTTTTTTAAACCGAGCTCAATCCAAGTTTAAAAGCTTGAATGTCTCAAGTACGTTTTGTTTTGTTTTAATTTTTTTTTTTTTTGTTTTGAATATATATTTTTTTTATTTCTCATTTCCCCTCAAAAATTACATCCGCCTAAATTGTGTCCTTTACCTTGAAAATTGTTGGGCCGGCCTGCTTGGTTCGGTTTTGTGAAAATGATTTTATCTTTTTGAGAACTAAAAAAAAAAAAAAAAAAAATTATTTAAAAATTTGCTTAGTTGATTGTTTTGAAAATTATATTTTAAAAATTCAGTTAAAAAATTTATTTTTTAAAAAACTACCTTTTATAATTTTCTAAAAGTAATTTCTATTTATTGAATTTTAAAATTATATTTTGAGACACAAACCAAACAGGCATGCTATCTATACTTATTTTTGCGGATGGACTCAAATTATATTCTCTTTGTTTCAAAATAGTCGAGTACTTTTATAATTGTGACTCACAATTTTTAAAACTCTCAAACGTTCAGCTATTTTGCGACGGAGAGAAAATATTTCATCAGTAAACCATTGGGCTGTAGAGGTGACTTAGGTTAAATGTGCTACGTTGTTCCAGTCATGTGCTCATCCTTGGTGGCATTTTCATTGAAAGAATGGGAACCGTTAAAGCCAAAAGACGCTTATTAATATTATTGTACTTTTTTTCCCCTCTTATTATTATTATTATTGTCCTTACCTTCTCTCAAGTTTGTCACAACCACAAAGAGATGGAGAAAATAAGATCGGCCTCATGCGTCATGAACCATAACCGATCTCACCCAACGATTCTAAAAAAATTATACGTAGTACCAAATAAACGAAACCACATAAATGCTTGATTTTTATTCTGTTGGCTTTTATAATTTTGGACTTTCTTATATGTTAGTTGAAAATAAATAAATATCTATATCTATATCTATCTATATATATATATATATATATATATAATGATAATACTATATATTATAGTGTATGATAAATTGGATAATACTTATATCCTTATTAGAGAGGATTTATAAACGTGGACCAATAATAAATGAACATATCATCTTTAATTATCAAATTAAAGTGATTTAATTATCATATATGATTTGATAATTAAACATGATATGTTTATTTATTATTAGTTCATATCAATAATTAGTATATTGTAAATCTTCACTAATGAGAACAATATTGTCTTATAAATTATTCTCTCATTAATTTACTAATTCGAGTCTCACTAAAGATGAGGTATGGGTTTCATGCATATAATATGTGCACTATTGAATACATCCCAAATTTAAAAATCATATACTGTTGTTAACAAAACCCAGACTTCATTGATACTTCCAAAGTCCCAACATTGTGGGCGCGCTATCCAGTTTGGAAAGACCTATACGAATAAGCCACTGGTCCATGCTAGGCTTGTAGGCCAAGGCCCTAATAGAGACACACGAAGGTATGAGAACCTTATACAGACGATAGATACAAAATTCAGTTGTCACATGAATTGTGCCTTATTGAAGAGGAGCTGGTTTTTCTGTTTGGCGGGTGTCAATGGGCTGGCACATGGTCCCCTAATGGTTCAATGCCAAAGGAGCCATAGGGCTCTGTTTTTAATTTTAAAGCATTCGACGGTCCACCAAATCCTTATTGTGGTCACCATTGTTTGGCCTCTCAAGATCATTGTCCTCAATTTTTCAATTGCTGATGAACAAATAGTATCTGAGATGGATAAGATGAGGCGTCAAGAACTTATAGGAGGTAAGATGGACAGTTGGTCAGATCTAGTACGGTAGTTGGAGTCGGCGACTCTCATAGGGTTCCCTCAGCTGGAATTCCTATAGTTTGGACCATTTAACATGTGATGGACCAGTTCAATTTAGACCGTTATTGTAATTTTTTTGTAATATATCAATTCACGGGCCATTTTTCTTAATCGGAGAGTCCGAATTGAATTGGTTCACCAAGTATCAAATGGTTCAAGACTATCTAATAATTTCTCAAAGTAAAGAAGATCAAGTTGGTCATTGATGTACTATCTCCTCCCTTCAACTCTTTGGGTAGAATGAGGCAAAAGGAAGGAAAATCCATGGACCAACCCATCCTCTCCACCCCGTATGAACTACGAGATCACCCCAAGGAGCGCAAATAATATAATATCTTTTCTTTAAATGATAGGTTAAGTATTTGAGTCCTACTAGACAATACTATAAAAGGAACACCTTAATATCTGTACTTAATAAGTAGGCAATAAAGGCATTTAGCATACACTTACCTGCACAGAACCTTAAAACTCTGTTCATTCCCACGAATTCGTGATCAAGCACCATTCTAAATGAAAATGAACATCACAGTACACAAGTTATAATTAATTTGCAATTCACATGTTAGACCGCAATTGTAGATGAGGTATATACTATCAACAAAGACATCTTAATAAATACATCAAAATTTCCAAAAAAAAAATAAATCATCAATTACACTAGTCTATTCTAATACAGTATTTAAAAAGAATGGTGACACTTGCTTTATTAAGGATCTAAACCTAATTGAAAAATGTAAACGCCCTCGACTCAATCCAATCCCATATGTGAGAAAGAGACTTCCATGTTGACAAAGGGTATGGTCTAACCACAATTTTAGATCCTATAGCAGATTAATTGCGTCCATTTAATTAAAAAAAGCTGTTACTATTCGGTGTAATGGTAAGAATTCAAGCTGACGGGAAATGTGAGAACGCAGATTTGAGCTCAACAATAGTCACTTTATGTATAGGCAATCCCTACACTAAGCTAATTTAGCTAAAAAAAAAAAAAGAAAAAAAAAAAGGGTCATAATTGGTGTAGAGTTGAAATGCTCTGCTATAAGCGTAGGTTTAAATTCAATGAACATGAATAACTTATGTTTTTTACTTACCAAAAAAATAACTTATGCTTCTAACTTATATTTAAAATCCAACTGT